CAGTACTCCATGTCGCGGCCGCATTGATTGGGGGCTCCACCGAACCCCAGTGGCACCGCCCGCATGCGTTCCCCCCACCGGGTACAGCGCTTCGCGGCCCCGTAGGGGACTCCAGTGGTCCGCCCGCATGCGACCCCCCATCCAGTGCAGCGTTTCTTGGGCCCATAGGGTGCTCTACCGAAGACCCCAGAGGCACCGCCCGCATGCGTGCCCCCTCCCAGTGCAGCGTCTCGCGGCCCCGTAGGGGCCCCCACCGAAGCCCCCCACTGGCACCGCTGGCATGCGTGAGTCACCACCCAGTACAGCGTGCCGTGGCCTCGTAGGGAGCTCCACATGATGACCCCAGTGGCACCGCCCGCGTGCGTCTCCCCCAACCAGTACAGCGTTTCGTCGGCTCATCGGGGGCTCCCGCGAAGGGCACCGCCCGCATGCGTCCGCCACACCCAGCACAGCGTGTTGTGGCCCATAAGGGGCCCCACCGAAGGCCCCAGTGGCACCGCCCGCATGCGTCTCTCCACCCACTACGGCACGTCCCTCACGCGTTTCGTGGCTCTATGTGAAAGTCCCCCGATAGTGGCATGCACAACGCGTTATTCACAAATGCGTATGGTTGGTTCCTTCGCCAGGATTTTTTTTTTTGTTTTTCAATTCCTTACACCTCCTCATTAATATCCGCCTTCCTCTCCTGCAGGAGCGTGGAAGGCCACCACGCTCTTGCAGGAGGCGGAGGAGGAAGGGAAAGAGGATGATGAGGAGGAGGTGGAGCAGGAGGAAGATGAGGGGGACGAGGAGGAGGATGAGGAGGAGGAGGGGGAGGAGGAAGAGGAGGAGTTGGACGAGGTGATAAGGGATGCATGGAATAATACTGTGTATGATAATGTGGGGGTCTTCCATGTGTGTATGTGTAGGTATGTATGTATGCCTGCATGTATGTATGTGTGTATGCATGTATGCATACATGTATGTATGCATGTATGTACTTTACTACGTATGTTTATATGTATGCATGTATGTATGTGTACATGTATGCATGTATGTATGTGCGTATGTATGCATATATGTAAGTATGTATGCATGTATGTATGTATGCGTGTATGTACGTATGCTTGTGTACATGCGCATACTCAGACAGGTGTACATTTATATATATATATATATATATATATATATATATGCATATATGTATACATGTATGTGTATTTATACGTACACATGTATAAACATATTGGTGTATACGCATGGTTGTATGTATGTCTGTACGTACGTATGTATGTTTGTATATAAGTATGTATGCATGTCTGTCTGTCTGTCTGTATGTATGTATGTATGCATGTCTGTATGTATGTGTGTCTGTATGTATGTATGCATGTCTGTGTGTCTGCATGTCTGTCTGGCTGTCTGTCTGTCTGCATGTATGTATGTATGACTCTATGTATATATATACACATACATATATACATATATATATATATATATATCTACGGCTGCACAATAGCTTTTCAAAGTTTTGTCTAGCTTGACTTGAAAAAACTGCCCAAGAGGGTTTCAAGACGGCAAAGATGCCTTCAAACGGACTCCCACGAGGCACTCAGGAGGCGAAACAAGTAGGTTGTTGGTTAATGGTTTTTGAAGGTTTTTCGTGTTCTCGCTGTTTCGTGCTTCCGACGGTCCACGCCAGCCCACGAGGCCCCAGAAATCAGGCCCCTAGAGGCCCCCGACAGAGCCCAACAGGCCCCCTAGAGGCTCCCTAGAGGCCCGACGCGGCCCCAACGAGGCCCAAGAAAACGCCCCACGAGGAATCCAGGAGGCGAGACATGTAAGTGGTTTCGGTATGTTTGGGGTAGTGTTTTCGTGTTCTCGCTGCCCCCTGCTTCACTTTTGACAGTCCAAGACAGCCCACGAGGCTCCAGAAATCAGCTGTAGACGGCCCAAGAGGCACCCAAAGAGGGCGCCAGACGGCGCAAAAGAGGCCCAAGACGGCCCAAGAGTGTCCCAAGACAGCCCAAGAGGCGCCCAATATCGCCCAAGACGGCCCCAAGACGGCCCCAAGAGGGGCCTACGAGGGGGAACGCGAACCGACAATTCGAGCTTTCCGCCCCATGACGCCCCCAGGAGGCCCCAACAGGCCCCTGGAGGCCCCCTAGAGGCTCCACAAGGCCCCAAAGGCTCCCCACGAGGAATTAAGGAGGCGAGCGAAGTAGGTTGGGTCGACGGTTTTTGCAGGTGTTTCGCGTTCTCGCTGTTCCCTGCTTCTGACAGTCGAAGACAGCCCACGGAGCTCCAGAAATCAGTTGTAGAAGGCCCAACAGGAACCCAAAGAGGGCGCCACGACGGCGAAAGAGAGCCCCAAGACGGCCCAAGAGCGCCCCAAGACGGCCCAAGATGCGCCCAAGATCGCCCAAGACGGCCCCAAGAGGGGCCCAAGAGGAGGGACACGAACCGACAATTCGAGCCTTCCGCCCCAAGAGGCCCCCAGGAGTCCCAACAGGGGTCCCCAAGAGGCCCCCAAGAGGCCCCACGAGGCCCCACAGAGGTCCAAGAAGACGCCCCAAGAGCACCCCAAGATGCCTTCACAACTACCTTGAAGAGGCTTCCAACACTGCCTCCAAAACATGGCATAGCATTGCATTGCATTGCAGTGCATAGCCCATGATGCCGTGTCTGCGCATCACATGTAACGCGGTAGCATAGTTCTTCAGAGGAAACATGGTTCAGCGCGCCATCATACATACATATGTATATATATATACATATGTATATATATAAATATATATGTAGACATATTAGCACTTCACAGCATAGCACAGCATGGCATGCAATGCGCACTGCAGATCGTATCATGTTATTGCATTGCATACTGCATCATGACATTGCGCTTTACAGTGTAGTACGATGTATCATGGCACTTCAAAACATAGTGCAATATGGTGCTGTAGCGCTGCGTTTGTCCTGGCCCATAGCTTGGCGACAGATCACCGGTCGATCGGTCGATGAGAGCGGAGGAGGAGGAATGGGGAAGAGGCAGGAGGAAACATGATGTTGACCACATTATTCATGACCGCGTTGTTGCTCTCAATGCGGTCAGCACTCGAGCAGCTAGAACCTAGGCGCGCGCGAAGCGCGCGGGTGGTTCGAGTATCTATATATGTGAATGAATGTATAGGGAACTCTTTATATCACGCGTCCAGAATGCAACGACGCACCGTTTCGGGCCCACGCTGGCACACATACGCTCGGAGATCTATGTTCAGCTGGCCTTACCTACGCCACCAGTTTGTATTGGCTGTCTGGCGAAGACGCGGACGAGCTCCAGGCAGCAATATTCGGAGGCCCAGCAGGACACGGGTCGCGCTAGGATGCCCGCGGAGGTCTGGCAGGTCGCCGGGCCTACAATAGGTTGGTGAGGACTGCAGTAAGAACGTGTGCGGCGCGGTGGCCGAATCTGAGCTTGTAATTTCACGATCAGAGACAAACCGAGCGCTAGGATGCAACTCCTGGGAGGTGAACTGCTGAATCGGCACTGGTATGTTCCTGGTCGAACGCAGGCATAATCTGGTTGAGCCCCCCCGCTTCATTCGGACCCATTCGTGTGATCCAGCGTGGTCCCGTTTAATCCGTTTCCTCCCAGATTCAATCTGGCCTAATTCGGGTCATTGACCAATCAATTGGGCTTAACAGCCCTTGTTCGTTCAGACGAGTGTTCCCATGAGTTGCCTCCTAACGTGCACGTCACTTCTTCTCCGCGTGCAGCGCTTTCTCCCCAACAGGAAGATCAGCGTGAGCAAAAAGGATACGTCTCGCGTCGCGAGAATGCACAGCCCTATGACCAACGAAGGGTGAATTGACCAGGTTTTATCACGGGTCTGTTCGGGACGAAGTTCGCGGTAGCGGTTGTGTAGTAAGCCCATTTGCCAACGTAGATGAAATATTGTTATGCGCCGTGGTCCATGTTCACCAGGGCCCCATTCCACGTCCATCCCAGAGATGTTTCGCGTCCATTCGGCACGGCTTGGAATATTTATCTAGTCTGCACGTTCACCCCGTCAGAAATGTAATGACGTTTGCGCGGCGATATTCCGATGTACGCCCGACGTAAATCCGACGTGAAGCCGCATCCGACGTGAGCCCGACCTAAATCCGACTTGGATCCGACATAATTTCGTTCGCAGGTTGTCCGTAGCTATTGTGAAGGCCTGACTGCCGGTGCCGCCGACCCTGAAAGACATCGACGACGACCAGGAGGGGGAGGAGGAGGAGCAGGAGGAGGAGGAGGAGGAGGAGGAGGAGGAGGCGGAGATGAAGAGGAGGAGGAGGAGGAGGAGGAGGAGGAGGAGGAGGAGGTGGAGGAGGAGGAGGAGGAGGTGGAGGAGGAGGAGGGGGGAGTCCTTTGCTTCCTTCTCCTCAGAAGAAGGAGGCAAAGGACTCCCCCCTGGGCCCCCCCCCCTGGGGAGGAGGACCAGAGGAGGACCAGCGTGGGACAGGGGAGGGGATGGGGAGGAGGACCCCCAGGGACGGATGCGTATCTGACTCCCCTCCCCCCCTGGGGACTTCTCCGCACCTGGGGAGGAGGACCCGAGGAGGGCCAGCGCGCCCGAGGAAGACTGCCGTGGAAGAGGAGGACCCCCAGAGGCGATGCGAGTCTGAACCCCTCCCCCCCGGGACCCCCCCCCGCTGGGGAAAGGACAAAGAAGGGGCATCCTTTTGACGTACTGAGGACGTGGATGGAATTTCCTCCATCTGCGAACCCGTTCCCCGAGCGAGGAAGGGTGATCTCTCTCTCTCTCTCTTTCTCTCTCTCTCTCTCTCTCCCCCGACGGGAGAGGAGGATGGGAAGGAGTGGACGAAAGAAGGCTCCACGTCGACGGGACCGGACAGACATCCCACACACGCCGACTGGGTCGGCGGATTTTGGCTCGAGGTCTGAGAGGTGAGCGCATCTTGCCCTGGGAATCTCAACTAAACATCTACTCGAACACTTCTAAACCAGTGTCGATTCAGCGATGGCGTACCCGCTGATCTTCGCGACGGCATGCGCGCTCGCTTCCATGGTGGGCGCCGAAGTGCATTTCATGCAGGTGTCACTTCGCGGATCGGACGGCACTGAGGTGCCAGAGGGCGTCCATCGCGACATCCACCACCACAATGCCTCGGGGACGACGCCGAACGCAGCGCTACTCGTACCTGGGAATCTCCTCATGGCATTTTCGCCTGCAGATGTCGGTGGTTGCACGACACTTGCCGCTACTATGACACCTGTCAGCTTAACAGCTGGCTCCGACACACGAGACACTCAAGTCCTCGGAAGCAATGCGTGCGACGCCGGCGGTACAGGAGGCACTCGTGACACAGGATTTCGGACGACGAGTGCCAACGATAAGGTTGTCTCGTCAGAGTACAGCTGGACTGTTGGTGGCTGGATCTATAAGAGTGGCGCGCCGGGTAATTGGTGGCACATATTCACAGATGGCCAGAGTGGGGACATGCTTACAATTACCAGTGATGGTACAATCAGATCATCCATGAACAGTGCCCCCACGGGTGTGTTCAACGAAGGCGGAGACATAGTGTATGGTTTCAGTTACAATGCACTCATCGATGGTTGGCATGAAATCACTCTCCGGTATTCACAACCAGAGGGTGCCGTCCAATTATTTGTTGATGGTGTTCCTGAGGATGGCTCAGGCCATTTGAAAACCATCAACACTGCCTACCGGCTTCGGAATTTTTGGGGATGGGGTTCAGCAAGTGATAATCCGTAAGGGCTTCGCCCCCTGCCGCTGGCCCCCTCTCTATCATAATGGGGTATATCAGAGTCGCGTCGGTGCGTCTTGGCGCTGCCTTGGCGCATCTGGGAACATCATGCGGGGGCGGATACGAATATCCGCGCATGTTGAGACGTCGGCGTTATCGAAGACGCCTACGGCGAGTCACCGCCGCCCCCGGCCCTTTCCGAAGCGCTTATGTGGCCGAACGTTGGGGCCAGAGCCCTGCCAAGCTATTGGACCATGTGTTCCCCGAATCGGTTTGGAAAGCCTACGGGGAACACATGGGGGAAGACGGGGAAGAGGATGAGAGTGAGGAATGGGCGTGTTCAGGGCCCCTTGGGGGCTCTTGTGAGCCTTTGGTGGCGTCTTGAGGCCTGCTCGCATGCGAAGCCTGTGTTGCCACGTGCACCGCACGGGAAGAAATGTCCCCGCCCCTCAGGAACCGCTTATGTGATTGACTTGTGGGTTCGAGTTTGGCCGAGCTGTAGGACAGTGTGTTCCCCGAGTAAGTTTGAGAAAGGCTTCGGGGAACACGAGGAGGAAGAGACGAGGATGAGGAGAGGGAGTGACATGCTAGAAGAGAAAGAAGACGAACCAGATGATGAAGACGAAGAGAAGGTGAGGGAGCCTCTTGGGTCATTCTTGGCGCGTCTTGGGGACTTCAGAGGAGTCTTTCGGAGGTGTCTTTGGGGCCGTCTTAGATCGAGGAGGAGGAGGAGGAGGCTGGAAGAGAAAGAGCAGTAGGACGAGTTTTCTCGGGAACCTCTTGGTAGCCCTCTGGAGAGGCCTCTTGGGAAGCCGCTGCGGAGCTTCCAGGGGTGTTTTGGCCATCTTGTCCCATATTGAGCCGTCTTGGGGCCGTCATGAGGCCGTCTTGGGGGCATCGTGGGCCATCATGGAGCCCTCTTGGGGCGGCCTGAATGAGCATGAGGCGATCGTTGGGGCCTCTTGGGCCGTCTTGGGCTGTCGGAAGGTCTAAAAGAAGCACATCTCACAATCGATTCAAACTCCTGAGGAAAACCGAAAACTTTTTGGCCTCTTCGGCCTTGGAGGCCTCTGGGACCATCTTGGAGGCATCCTGGGGTCATCTTGGCCGTCTTGAAGGACATCTTGGCCGTCTAGGAGGCGTCTTGAAGGCCATCTTGGCCATCTTGGCCGTCTTGGGGACCATCTGGAGCCATCTCGGAGCCGTCTTGGGGCCGTCTTGGGGGCCTCGTGGGTCATCATGGGGCCATTTTGGAGGCCTCCTGAGCGATCTTGGGGCGATCTTTGGAACCTCTTGGGCCGTCTTGGGCTGTCAGAAGGCCCAAAATAAGCACATTCCAAAATCCATCAAACAACCTTTGGAAAATCACTGTTTTTGGCCTCTTCGGGCTCTCGTGCAAGCCGTCTTGGCGGCCTCTTGGGCCGTTTTTGGAGGCATGTTGGAGCCATCGTGGCCGTCTTGGAGGGCACCTTGGCCGTCTTGGATGCATCTTGGATGCCATCTTGGGCCATCACGGTTTTGAAAGCCATCTTGAGCCGTCTTGGGAGAGTTTTTGGGAGAATTATGCGCCCTTCGGGTGGCCGGCGGAACGGGCCGAAGCCCCAGGGGGAGTTCTTTTGCAAACGAACTAAAACCAAAATCGAAAGGGTTCAGCACGCCGGGCACGCCTGTGATGAATCAACACGGGGTGGCGGATCGAAGACGCCTACGGCGAGTCACCGCCGCCCCCTGCCCTTTCCCAAGCGCTTATGTGGCCGAACGTTGAGACCAGAGCCTTGCCAAGCTATCGGACCACGTGTTCCCCGAATCGGTTTGGAAAGCCTTCGGGGAACACGTGGGGGAGGACGGGGAAGAGGATGAGAGTGAGGAATGGGCATGATCGGGGCCCCTTGGGGGCTCTTGTGAGCTTTTGGAAGTGTCGTGGAGCCTGCTGACCGAAGGTTGGATCAGATCCTTGCCAATCTTTCGGAACGAGTGTTCCCCGAATCGGTTTGGAAAGCTTTCGGGGAACACGTGGAGGAGGTTGGAGAAGAGAAGGGGAGTGAGGAAAAAGGGGAAGGGAGGAAGAGTCCTCTTGGGAGCCTCTTGAGGCACTCTTGGGCTCAATTGGGCCATCTTGGCCGTCTTGGAGGCATCTTGACGGTCATCTTGTTCGTCTGGAGGCCATTTTGACCCTTTCGGGCCTTCCTGGAGGACGTCTTGGAGGGCTCTTGGGCCGTCTTGGAGGCCTCTTGCGGGCCCTTTTGGCAGTCTAAGGCCATCTTGAGGCCATCTGGGGCCGTCTTGGGTGCATCTTGGGGCTATCTTGGAGGCCATCTTGGCCGTCTTGGAGGCATCTTGGAGGCCATCTTGGACGTCTTGGAGGCCATCTTCGGCGTCTTCGGGGCCATCTTGGGCCGTTTTGGGCTCTTCTTGGAGCCCTCTTGGGCGCCTCTTGGGCTGTCATGGGGCCATATTGGAGGCCTCTTGGGCGCTCTTGGGACGATGTTGGGGGCCTCTTGGGCCGCCTTGGGCCATCGGAGAGCTGATAATAAGAAAATGCCAACATCCTTCAACAACCTAAGGAAATCAATGATTTTTCCCAACCCTTCTATGGTTGGGTACTCGTTCTGAATTGAGCAGTGTGGTCGCCCCTTCCTCCTCCTCCCCTCGCCTCCCCTGCTCCTCTCCTGTTTCCTGTGTTCCCCTCTGCTCTTCTCTCGTGCCGTCGGGCTGCCATCTGCGCAACTGTCGCCACTTTCGTGGGCTCCTGGGAGGCCCAGCGGAGGTACGTCCCACGCGGACCACCTCGGGACCTCGCCGCCCCCTGGTGGGCTTGCGATCTGCGCAACTGTCGCCACTTTCGTGACTCCTGGGAGGCCCAGCGGAGGTACGTTCCACGCGGACCTCGCCGTGCCCTGGGGGCTGCGATCTGCGCAACTGTCGCCACTTTCGTGGGCTCCTGGGAGGCCCAGCGGAGGTACGTCCCACGCGGACCACCTCGGGACCTCGCCGCCCCCTGGGGGGCTTGCGATCTGCGCACTGTCGCCACTTTCGTGGGCTCCTGGGAGGCCCAGCGGAGGTCGTCCCACGCGGACCACCTCGGGACCTCGCCGCCCCCTGCCTTGCCACTTTCGTGGGTCCGCGGAGGTACGTCCCACGCGGACCACCTCGCCGCCCCCCGACTGCGCAACTGTCACTTTCGTGGGCTCCTGGGAGGCCCAGCGGAGGTACGTCCCACGCGGACCACCGGGGCCTCGCCGCCCCCTGGTGGGCTTGCGATCTGCGCAACTGTCGCCACTTTCGTGGGCTCCTGGGAGGCCCAGCGGAGGTACGTCCCACGCGGACCACCTCGGGACCTCGCCGCCCCCTGGGGGCTTGCGATCTGCGCAACTGTCGCCACTTTCGTGGGCTCCTGGGAGGCCCAGCCGAGGTACGTCCCACGCGGACCACCTCGGGACCTCGCCGCCCCCTGGGGGGCTTGCGATCTGCGCAACTGTCGCCACTTTCGTGGGCTCCTGGGAGGCCCAGCGGAGGCACGTCCCACGCGGACCACCTCGGGACCTCGCCGCCCCCTGGGGGGCTTGCGATCTGCGCAACTGTCGCCACTTTCGTGGGCTCCTGGGAGGCCCAGCGGAGGTACGTCCCACGGGACCACCTCGGGACCTCGCCGCCCCCTGGTGGGCTTGCGATCTGCGCAACTGTCGCCACTTTCGTGGGCTCCTTAGGCTCCTGGGACCCGCGGAGGGTCCCACGCGGATCACCTCGGGACCTCGCCGCCCCCTGGTGGGCTTGCGGTCTGCGCAACTGTCACCATTTTCGTGGGCTCCTGGGAGGCCCAGCGGAGGTACGTCCCACGCGGACCACCTCGGGACCTCGCCGCCCCCTGGGGGGCTTGCGATCTGCGCAACTGTCGCCACTTTCGTGGGCTCCTGGGAGGCCCAGCGGAGGTACGTCCCACGCGGACCACCTTGGGACCTCGCCGCCCCCTGGGGGGCTTGCGATCTGCGCAACTGTCGCCACTTTCGTGGGCTCCTGGGAGGCCCAGCGGAGGTACGTCCCACGCGGACCACCTCGGACCTCGCCGCCCCCTGGTGGGCTTGCGATCTGCGCAACTGTCGACTTTCGTAGGCTCCGTCCCAGCGGAGGTACGTCCCACATGGACCACCTTGGAACCTCGCCGCCCCCTGGGGGGCTTGCGATCTGCGCAACTGTCGCCACTTTCGTGGGCTCCTGGGAGGCCCAGCGGAGGTGGGTCCCACGCGGACCACCTCGGGACCTCGCCGCCCCCTGGGGGGCTTGCGATCTGCGCAGCTATCGCCACTTTCGTGGGCTCCTGGGAGGCCCAGCGGAGGCACGTCCCACGCGGACCATTTCGGGACCTCGCCGCCCCCTGGGGGGCTTGCGGTCTGCGCAACTGTCGCCACTTTCGTAGGCTCCTGGGAGGCAGGCACGTCCCACGCGGACCACCTCGGGACCTCGCCGCCCCCTGGTGGGCTTGCGATCTGCGCAACTGTCGCCACTTTCGTGGGCTCCTGGGAGGCCCAGCGGAGGTACGTCCCACGCGGACCACCTCGGGACCTCACCGCCCCCTGCGGGGCTTGCGATCTGGGCAACTGTCGCCATTTTCGTGGGCTCCTGGGAGGCCCAGCGGGTCCCACGTGGATCATTCGGAGGTACGTCATACGCGTTTCATTCAACGCCCCTGTTTTTCCATTTTGTATAGTTCCCGTTCCTCTTCTTGCTGCGCTCTTCTGAAATCACTGTTGGGTGCTCTTCTTGTGCACTGCGGGTCCTTCAGGATGCCAGCCAGCATTGAGTGGTCCTGAGTATCATCGCCACATGTATAGAAAGGGTTGGGTACGTCACAGGGTAATTTTTCTTTTCGGGCCTTCCCGGAGGACGTCGTGGAGGCCTCTTGGGGGCCTCTTGGCCAGTCTTAGGCCATCTTGGAGCTATCTTGGACCATCTTGGAGGCTTCTTGGACGAACTTGAAGGCATCTTGGACTCTCTCGGGCCGTCTTGGAAG